ACACCTTGTTCAAGTGACATTTTGAATATCACAGTCAGTGGGGCCGCGATATATTGTGCAATATGTCTCAAGGTTTTGGGGTGTGTTTCATCTGGTCCTGTTGTTTTTTTCCATGTTTAAGGTGCTAAGAGCCTCAAGCACATCGTCTTGATCGAAGTCCACGGTGAGCAGGCGGTTTGTTGACTGTTTATTTTGGTCTGGTTCTTTGTCTAGAGGGGGTTTCTGAGTGAAAACTGCCCCAAAATAGTCAGCCATAGCCTCTGCTTTTTCCTGATCTTCCTCTATCATTTCAGATTCACTCCCTTCTTTAATTAGGTTGGGAATCCAATGATGCACCCTTGTTCTGTACTTTATTTACGAAAATATTCGCTTGGGCTGCTTGAGTGCAGATAGTGCCAACTGAATTTCACATTTTCTTTGGGCTTCCCGAATTTTTGGCAAACACTTGTTTCTTATCGATCTGTAGCGTTCCATCGTACCTGCTGTACCAAGGCGGATAGGAACATTCTAACATTTCTTCTCTTGTCTTAGTAAACGTCGATTATCCTGGCCTATCCAGAGATAACCATACTTCGTCTTCTTTGGAACTGTCCTGGGTATGTATGGTTGAGTTACCTGATTGTATAACTGCCTGAAAAGAGTACATGCCTCTTGTACCGATGCCCTTGATTCAAGTCCCCAGTTTTCAGCCAATGCTGTGAAGTTGATTGCCTCTATATCTGCCTTCCATATATTAGGACTGGAAGGCGCAACTGTTTGACAGGCAATCTCAGCAACAAATTTGAATAATATGACTGCATGGTCACTTCTCCCTAGTGCTGGGAGGAAAGTAATTTGACCAACGTCATCATCGTATGAGAAGACTAAATCTAAGAGAGAAGAAGATTTTCTTAAGTCATATCTTGTGGGGTTTCTTATATATTGGAATAAAGCTAATCCAATCGAGGTTTCTAACAGTTTGCAATCGAACGACACTATCGATGACCCTACTCCTAAAATAACCCAGTTTATATACGGCGCATTAAAGTCGCCTACTACAAGACTTTTGCCCTTGTTACACCAGGACTTAAGTTTACTAGGAGAAAATCATCCACTGTGCATTGTGGACTGCAACAGACTACAACTAAATCAATATCTTGCCGTCTGTATTTCAGCCTACAATGCACGAGTTCACACGTCCCTGAATCACGTGTGAATGTCTCAACTACCCCTATGGTTAGAATACTTTTCGTGTACGGGATAAACCCGCCTGCCCTACGGTTTAATATCTCAGCCCTAGAGGATAATAAACTAGTCAGCTGAAATTCATTATCGTGAACCTCGGACGTTAACCGTTTTTCTGAGTCAGCAATAACATCCGGTTTTTCTACAACCATCAGTGTCTTGAGCTCTGCCATTTTATTTAGTAGGCTGCGAGCATTTGTGTAGCATACCTTTAAGTCTGTGGAGAACTTTGCCTTACCACCAAGAGTGGTTTGTGGATCGTTTTGCTCCGAACTTTTACAATTTGAAAATCCCTAAGTATCTGATTTCTATCGCCTTTTCGGCGGTGTTCATTTATTTTTACTTCTGCAGCTTGTCTCTTAATACGGTCAACCAGGATGAGATCCTCACAGACGTATATTCTGGATCCAATCAGTTTACGTGAGTTACTTAGAATCAGATTCCTTTCTTCAACCGTGGCACATGTGACCTCCAAGCGGCGACTTTTGTGAGGACTTTCAGAATCCAACTTTTGTCCTGTTCCATAAAGCTTATAGATGCTAACTCCTGAAACTGTATCTGGCAGTACTTTGCTTATTAAGGACTTAATATACTGAGATCGTGTTCAAATCTAGCCTTTGGTTCCTTATCAGAAGATTCTCTTAACTTATGAAAAATGACTGGCCTCTCAGAGAGATCTGTCTTGACACACAGTGGAGATTTTGTTTCTGATACCGTCTCTTCCATTGATTTGCTAATCAGCTGTGTTTAGCCTACAGCTCTCTTCTTCTCATTGGTTTTTCTCCGTACTGAAGTCCATTTATCACCACTCAGGACAGCCACCCCGGGACTATTTGGAACGTTGACAGTTTATCCAGGTCTTCAATTTCCACTAGAGGTGTATGAATACCGATGTCAATATCAAGCGGCACTTCACTCCTCGTTAATGTTAACGGAGATTTCACTTTCTTATCAATCACAGTCGGGTGTTTAGCGGGTCCGGTAGCAGCACGTACTACACTGACACATTCTTCACCGTCAGTGCTCGTGTTATCAGCGCAACCGCCATCGTTTTTCTCACAGGCCAAAGCCAATAGGCTCATTGCCTCCTGAATTAGTAACTTCTTATTTGTACAGCAAATTATACAAAGCCAATGCTAGTCAGGCTTCGAGCATCTTTTGTATGCCGTAGGACTTAGACGTGTACACATCTTATGGTACCACTTTTTACATTCATCGCACTGCATTCCTTCCTCAACGGGAAATAAGCAGTTTGGTTGTCTACATTTCTAAGTCTTACCAACCATTGTAATTTGATTAAAAAGGTTTAAAAACTATATGATCACAGTGTGAACACGAGCGTCAGTCAATGAGTAAAAAAAGGTACCACAGGACAAAGTTTAGCAAAAATTCCGAACCTTGACCAAAGTACTTTTAGTTAAAGTAGACCAAGAATGCTTTGCAGTGCAACAAATACACAAAGTAAGGATAATCACGACAAGTACAAAAGTCACTGCCATTTTTGAAACGAGCGCCAAAGTATAACTAGGTTTCTGTCCGGAGGTATTGGTGATCCACCGCTACAAGATACGGAGGCCCGTTAATCGAAAGCTTTTTCTATTCCGCTCAACATCATTTTGAACCACAAAGTGGTCGATGTCTAGTCCTAGAGGACTTTGATGCACCAATGGTAGACTAGGTAAATCTGTGAGCTGAATCGTCAGAAAATTCCCTCGAGCAGGAACTAGTAGATGTGGTTATCACATGTGCCCTAGTGCAACATGTGCAAGAAGCGACAAGGTACGATCCGGACACTGAATCATCCTTACTAGATCTTACATTGACTCACTATGAGGATGACGTTGCGAACCTCCATTATATGCCATCCTTATGTAAAAGTGATCACGCAGTTTTAACTTTCGACTTTCATATAACTGTCAGTCATGAGGACGCGTCAGTCCAGTCCAGACCTAACGTCTGGAAAGCAAACATACCAGACATCATGCACTCAGCATCGTTAATAGATTGGACAATAGACCCAGAGTCCTCAATTGAAACGGCCTGGGACGCATTTCGAAATTCATACTTAAAAGTTACCACACCCCACATCCCTTGGACTATACCAAGGGGACCAAGAAACTCCCCACCATGGTTCAGTAGGGAGGTCCGCATCCTTCTCCGTAAGAGAAGAAAAATGTGAGATAGATTTAGGTTACTGGGGACTGATGAGTCAAAATCTCAGTATCGAAAGGCTCGGAATACTTGTGCCTCGACCCTCCGTAAGTCTAGAAAATTGTACGAAGGAAAACTTGTTAAGGAATCCATAGGATGTCCTAAACGCTTGTATTCCTATATAAACCAAAGGACAAGGAGAAAAGGAAATATTCCTGCTGTATGGGGAGACACTACTGCTTCATCATTAGTGGAGGACGACTTTGGTAAGGTTCAAGTGTTCTCGAACTACTTTAGCAACGTATATACCATAGAAGCGCCCTTCCCGTCAGCGTATACAGATCCCCCCATACATACACTGGATAGCGTGAACATTAAAGAACTCGATGTCTTTGGTCTGCTAAATAAGCTTAACATAGGTAAATCCACGGGGTCCGATGAATTACATCCTAGGCTACTGAAGGAATTATCTAACTTCGTTGCAAACCCATTAGCTATATGCTTTAACCTATCCATAGCACAAGGTCTTTTACCAAAAGACTGAAAGAACGCTATAGCAAGTCCTGTCTTCAAAACAGGTACAAAACACAAACCTGGGAATTACCGCCCCGTTAGCCTAACTAGTGTGGTTGTTAAAATCTTAGAAAAGATTATTCGGAAGGAGCTGTTTAAGTATCTCGATGAAAACCAGACCCTTTTAGAGAAGCAGCACAGTTTCAGAATAGGTTACTCTTGTCTCACCAACTTATTAGTGGCTCGTGAAATCTGGTGCGCTCTTAAGGACCAAAAGTTATCTGTAGACGTGGCCTTCATTGATTTCAGCAAAGCTTTTGACAAAGTTACGCACAACCGGCTGTTATATAAGCTAAGAAATGTCGGAATTGGAGGCAATCTATTTATGTGGATAAAAGACTTCTTGGTTGGGCGTCAACAAAGAGTATGGGTGAACTCAAAGTTATCTGGCTGAGAAACTGTGCTCAATGGAGTCATCGTTAGCCAAGACCTAAAGACTACTGCACACTGCCGTGCAATAGCCGCCCAAACTTTTAGAACCTTATGGTCAATACGTAGAGCTTTTAGCCATGTCGACGCTGAAACGTCTTTGACTTTGTATACAGTATTCGTTCGTCCTAAACTTGAGTACTGCATACAAGCGGCTAGCCCCTGCTTAAAAAAAGACAGTGAGCTTCTGGAAGAGGTTCAGAGAACGGCGACTAAGCTGATTCCCGGAATAGCGAAGCTTCCGTATGAAGTCCGACTGGCCAAGCTGAAACTTTTCCTGTTGTCTGTCATATCGCAGAACTAGAGGCGACTTGATTACAGTCTACAAATTGCTTAGTGATAAATTTGCACCTAATATGCCCTCATTTTTCTTGTCTTCCAAAACAGAGAATTTACGAGGACACTCCAAAAAAGTTCACAAGCCAAGAACAAGTTACTTGTCAGCTGACTATCGACTTCCCCATCGAATCATCAACGAGTGGAATTCATTACTTCAACACGTGGTTGAGGCCCCATCCGTCGACTACTTCAAAAGAAAGTTGGATCACGTGAGAGATCACCATTGCCAGGACTAACACAGGCCGCCAAGCCTCCTGTCCTTCCCAAACTGAAACTGAAACTAAGGAATTTGGAGTTTGGACGTCAGCGTGGCGCTTAGATTGTAGCGTTTGTTGTACTTCATTTTAATGGCATTCCAATACGAATATGCAGTGGTAAGCCAAATACCCAGATCGTTTGAAGAATTTTTGATGTCTCCTGATGCTAACGTACCAGGAAAAAAGGGTGGAAAATTCAACTATGAGGAAGCTTGCAATGAGAGAGAAAAATTCGTTGAAGCATTGAGACAAAACGGAGTCGATGTACTTGAAATGGAAGCGGATGAACGTCATCCTGAGTGTGTAAAAGTAGACGACACAGCTGTTATAATTAATGGGACAGCACTGATGTGTAACCCATATCGATGTCACAGACAAGGAGAAGTAGAATATATTTAGTTGCTTTTCTAATAATTTTAGGTCAACCTAATTCGTCATACTCTCAAAAAAGAACTGGGAATTAAAATAGTTGAGTTGAATACAGAAAATGCTCAAGTTGAGGGGAGTGACGTCCTTTTCACAGGTAATTTAACACATGTACAAGTGATGTAATAAGAATATTTTTTCACTCCACAATGCTATAAATACCCATTTATTAAAATCTCATTTAGTCATATATATGACTAAAAAGCCTTGACCAATTGTCCAGCATATTTTGGATATAAAATAAGTATGCTCCCTTTGCAGACTTGAGGCAATTTTAAACTTTTCAGCTTTTGTGACTTCTTAAGCCTATGTAGATCATTGGTGAAGATATATTTTGCATCTGACATAAAGTTTCAATTAGAATATGCTATTAATTGAATGATCTAGCATGTAGGCTATGAACCAGATATACTGTAAAGCGTCCAAATTTAAGTAAATACATCTAGATATCGTAACCTTTCTCCACTACTCTGATTTAATCTACATAATGGAAAATACTGCCTGTGAATATGATCACCGAGTTCAAGTTTCACGTGTTGAAAAAGTTCTCTATCTTTTGCATAACTTTTGGATGGTAAATATGCACTTTTTCAGCATTTCAAACAGCAGAATTTCTCAAAAGTTAGTTGAGATTTCTAAATCTGCTGATATTTGTGGGTTGGTGGATGACGGGATTTTATCACATGCGAAAATTTTCCGTTGTTTTTTCATCAATCCACACAAACTGCTTCACAGTTTAATATTCACTTAATTGCTGAGGAAAGAGTATAAATACTCTATGGTTCTATTTACACTTCCCTCAGGTGTAAAGCATGTTTCTCAAAGTAGGAAACACGCTCAGGTTACAATGATTTAATGGCAGATGTTTCTGAAGTATCACTTGCATATAGTTAATCCACTGTGAAACTAGTATGTTGGATGTAGAAATCTAGTTAAAATAAGTAACCATTCTGATGAATTTTGCGGGACGAGGCGATTGATCTATGTGCAGTTTATAAGGCACCACAACCTACCTCAGTTCGTTATTTTGGTCAGTATAAGAGCAAGCAGGAGACAGGTCATAAATAATTAGGGCAGAATATCAGTCAGTCACGACGTAGAACGTGTACGTACGTACATCAGTTCAAGTTTCCATACCCCATTAACACAGTTAGGCCAAATCCCAGAATAGTCGAGGTAGTAAAAGTATCGGTGATAATGGGGAATGTTAGGTACCGAACACACGACTCTGAAAAAAACATAAATTAGAGAAGCAAACAAAAAAGCAAAACAAAAGGAATTTAGAATCTCAGGATTTTGGGGATGACAAAGAATGGATGCAACTCTGCGATTGCAAACGATTTTGAGTCATGCAGTTCAAGGTCGCTAACCATTGGCTACGATAATCACGTGCATTCCAACCTCTTAATCTACACCTGTTAACATCGATAAATCCAAATGTCGATGGATTGACGCTGTTTTGGTTTGGCCTCCCCTAACTTTCGACCACCTTACTCCTGCACCAGAAAACATCTCCCGTCGAGGTAGGTAACGGTTAGGTGTACGTAACAAGCATCCTAACCGCCTCAGTTATTGAAGATTTACCATCTCATCATTCGATTTCCACCCGTACCTAGTATCTTATTCCTAATCCAGCCATTGATTACTCCATGGTCCCAAAATACGCGAGCAATACTTCGACGACACTTATGATTAGATACCAATAGCCTACGAATATCCTCTACTCCTAATGGTCATCCTTCATACCCATGAAGTAGAATAGAGTGAACTGCTGCGCAGTCAGCTCACACTTTGATTGGAAGACGGATGTCTCGCCCACGCCACAAGTGACGCAAGTTGGCGAAAAGCCAATCGGACTTTCTGAATCCGTGTCGAGATCCCGTCAGATACCACTTAGGGGTTGAAGTATTATTGAGGCTAATATTTTGGACACTAATAGTTAAACCGATTCCTCTGTGTTTGTCACAAGAGGATTCTTCTCGTATTTTCTAAACTGAGACGATCAGGGATCCAGACCAGTCAAATGGGATTACGTTCATTTCTCATATTTTAGCTAAGATTTCAGTTAATCTGGCTGCCAAAACTGAACCGCAACCCTTAAAAATCTCAGGGGTTGGTCCATCAAGCCCTGCTGCTCTCTCCCACCTAAAATTACTTGTAGCCTTCTCAACCTCATTAGCATTTGGATGACTTGCATCAGTTTGCCATTCAGGTTGCTAGAAGCCATTTAGACTGTTCCCTAAAGTGTTCTGCCCATCGCCCGACCGTTGTTGCTACCTTGACGTGGTGGTCGGGCTTGCCTGTCGTGACGAAGCAACCAAGCTGTGCTGGCTGGAACAACCGTTCCTCAAGGTCCTACCATATCAGACAGGTCGGTTGAACAGCGGTAAGACTAAAAGCAACAAACTCAAGGTCCGAAGGCGAAGTCGTACTGCTGATTGTACAGAAGTGTGACAGCAGTAAGGTGTTTCCTTCAGACAACCAACATGACAGCGATGCTGCCTTCCCACAAAGGGGGGTGGGGTTAGAAAAAGTCAACCCTAAAAATGCACACCTCGCCTTATCCCACGGATATCCGTTCCCGGCGGTAAGGTCTCAACAAGTACGGAGCTAACACAAAAATCACCCATAAAAGGGTCGTGTGTGACCGACCTCAAGCAGTTATCCCTTGGGCACTAAGACCACCTCTTATCCAATTTCCTTTTCAAGTACCTCCAGAAGAACCCTTCCACGGTGTGGGCAACCGGGAAGTGATAACCGCCCTCATACCTCTAACAGCACTTAAGACCACTATATTCACAATCATACCTCTGCTCATCAGCTTAATCTCCTGGATTGATAGTGAATAATAGCTTTTTCACGAGTTGGTAACATTAACAGCCGGATTTCTAACACCCGTTCCCTTGATATGCTTGGACAATTATCTACTGGTATCTATCTCTGCTGAAATCCACTGATTTTTCTTAACCTTTTGGTCTAAGTTACTAGTGGATATCACTGCTGTTTCCATAGTTTTCTTGGATATCAAGCTAAGTTACCTCAGGCTGAATATCGCGTTCACGGTTGGCTAACTCCTGTAGTTATTTCTTTTGTTTATTCTTAACTTTCTCATCATTAAGTTGAAATTCAACATTACTAATAGCGATTGATGAGTCGATTGTGGAGGTCACCACGTCAAACGATGTTTATTATTGTATTCAAAGTCAAATCATTAGCATTGGTGGTGCGTGGGTATAGAAGAATTAATAAGATGTGGTGAGAGAAGGATTCATTTGTGAAAAAGATGAAGTCGGATGTTGATAGTGGTTAGTATGTGGGCCACAGAGGCTGGTCATCCGAGGGAAACACCTTACCGCTCTCATATCCCTTTACAGTAGGTAATACGACTTCGCCATCGAGCCCTAAGTTGCTGCCTTTAGTCTTACCGTCCTCTAACCGAGCTACCTGACATTGTCGAAGCTAAAGGAACATATGTTTCAGCCAATTTAGCTCTGTTGCGTCTTCCTGATGGGCAAGCCCGATCACCACTTCGAGGTGGCAGGTACGGTCGGGGGTCGGAATATACCACCACTCAATGAAGTTGTCGATAGTTTGTTTGTATTGTATGGGGTTTTCTGATGTTCTATGAGCTGACTGTAATCGACTGTTAAAGGGTATGCGTAGTATAGTTGTAAGTAGTGGTGACACATCCTACTACATACAAGTTTATGTTCAGCTTTCAGCCTTATTTTAAGTTTAGTAATACTAATTGGCTGCCCGAACCAAAACCCGTGTATAACTGATATCTAACGGATAAACTTAAATAGGCTGGTCTTTTAGGTACTGAGCAAGTTGAAAATCGATAGCACTTTTATCTATACATTCTTTCTTATGTTCCTTTGATCTATGTACATTGATCGAAGTATCCCATTAAAACCCTACCATACTATATCTTGATATTTTTTATTTTATCACTTGCTTGCACACGTGTGCAGTCCATAGCTAATTGTAATAAGCCGATACTTGGTTACGTGTTTATATTTTCTCAGGTAAATTTGGTTGCTCGTATTGTAGACCTCCCTTCTGCATTTACCATTTATCTCAAATTTGTTATTCTAGGTCAGGAAATTATTGTGGGCATTTCCGCCCATACTAATGAGGCTGGTGCTCACGCTGTGGCACGTGCATTCCCAGAATATGCAACTTCTATCGTCAAGTTACCTCAACCTTTTCGTTCCCTTAAAGATGCCGTTGGTGTGGCTGGGATTAATGTACTGGCAGTGGGCGAAAGTGAAGCAGCTAAACAACTATTAAAGGTATAATATTTTTCATAAATATCGGTTTAAACTATATTCCTCTTTTCAAATATATAACACGAACTATAGTCGTACTATTTGCGCACGGATTAGTCATACTAACCAGATTGAAGTATGTGAAACTATTGTGGACCGCGGGGTGGCTACTCTAATTTCTACCGACTGACCAACTTCAGATATTCCAGTACGACCCCAATACTGTTCCCCAATCTCCAATATATCAGAACACGAACCGTAGATGAAATTGTGTATGGGGTCAGGAGAAGAATAAGAATAGGAATAATACTTCACAGACAAATGGATATTTATACAGTTAGGATTACCGTGAATATTGACCAATAGGAAAATGACACCATTTCACGTTCAAGAATAGCATTAGACTTAATAGAATAATTTTTGGGATATTTTTCTGAATATCCCAACAGAAACGCTGTTCGAACTGTCAACATGCTGACAAGGAAATTCGTTGATTGCTAAAAAAATCTCCATATATATATATATATATATATGGCATAATTTCCTTACATTTCTCAATATCGTTGATTATATTCATTTTGTAAATGTTTTTTTCTTCTAAATCGGTCATTAGAGAGTTAGTTCGATGATCATTAAAGAAAGAAAAAAACAACAGATAAACAACCACAATAATGCATCCATTTCATAAGTAACAAAATATAGGCACTACATCGATACAGATATTTGATTTGTTCAAAGGATGAATGTTTATTTTAATAAGGAATTGTGTAATAGTGACCAAATTTTCAATCTTAATTAAGTTTATGTTTATTTTATTTCTCTATACTAAAAGTAAAGTAATGAATGACTCCTTTTTAAACCATTTTATATTAAGTGGTTGTTTTACAACAAATGTTTTTTCGAAACTTTTGTTAGTAAAAGTAGCTTTGTCCCTAGTTATTGGTTAAATTGTAACATTGAGTGTATAGACATGATACGTCAGTAATAATTCCCAAATTCTCAATCGTGGCTGTACCATATTATCAAGTAACATCAAGGCTAAACGTAAGTATACAAGAGAATCCGTTCCGACCATAGCTGCTACCTTGACATGGTCAGTTAGTCAGCCAGTAACAACGTGGAACTTCGTACGTACGTACATCAGTTCGAGTTGCCACACCACATTAGCACAGAGATGCAGTTGTCGATTCAAATCCCGTAGTGGTGGAGGCGGTAAGACTATAAGCAGTAATCGGAAAGATTAGGGTTTGGAGATGTTATTTAAAGAGTATAATCCAGTGAAATAAATTTGGAAAAAGAAAAAAAGAGACAAGAAGGACTCAGGAGATTAGAATTTGGGAGAACACAAAGAGTGGATGCACCTTGATATAGTAGTCGGGCTTACCTATTCTTATACCCGACCAAGCTGTGTTGACTGAAATAATTATTTCTCTAGGTCCTACTATCCCATGGAGGTCGGTTGGGGAACGGTAAGCAAAATTTTTGTCGAAATGCAGAGTCTTACTGCTGACTATATTGGAGTGTGACGGTGTTTCCCCCTGGCAACTAGCATCCAGCTGCTTTAAGCAACAATGTAAAGATATTCAGGATGTGTTTTCTTCCTCCGAATGCAAAATATTACTTCACTACCGGTTTGAGTCAACAGCTAAATTGAGGGTAGGGAGTGAGACAGTTGGCTGTGCCGTTCACTTTACCTCACTAAAACATGTATAAACAACCAGTTAGAAACAAGTTCATCAAAACACTGAATTAGTTTTTCAAATAACAGAAATAAATTACACAATGATGATGTCCAGGACGAAAACCCAGAAGCATCGACGTAAGCTGTAAATCTTCATTCTATTTAAGATTTCTGAATTCCATCTGATCTTACTCGACAGAATCTTCTATTCAGTATGATGAGGCCAATTAAGTAAGTATGACTACTTAGACTTACATATCTATCCCCAATTTCATATTTTTATTTGTCTAGCTTCTAAACATCATAAACTGTTAGTTAGGGCAGCATGACAAAATGTGAACTTTTTTTGGTTGAAGGTAAGCTGAAGCCAGTGTTTTGAAGGAAATAATTCCAACACGTTAAATATCGAAATTTTATTTGAATAACCTGTGCTATCGACAGTTCAACAATTCCGATGTTTCGTCTGACAAACTGGTCCGAGTTTCTTCAATGGAAATATAATCTAAAGGTATATATACATAACAAAATCACACCTAAAGCTTGTCCAATCGTGTTTAATCGGTTTCTAGTAAGGTCAAGAGATCGGATATACTATCGATTTTGAAGGGATGAAAATACTTCATAAAGGTTTCAGATCTCATAGAGAAAAGAAACTGAAGCTGTGTATAAATGAGAGAATCATAACAACGTTGCCAGAAGAGGTTAAACAAAGTTAAATACACCATGCCAACTGTTGCTTAACATATGAACACAAGGACCTTAAACTTTCACCAACTAAAGATTGATATCAACATAGATGGGGACGGCTATCTAGTCATTTTTTCGATTCACTTATGATTATCATAATTGTAATTCGTTTTTAGCATCACAATTAACCATGTGAATGATCTAAGTCTGTGGATACTTCGACTGATTTATTTCATTCTTATATACCTCCAGATGTATAATAAAAATAAATGACCACTTGTCCTTGGACTCACTTTTTCCCAATAAAAATAGCATACAGATACACACACATTCTTTATATGGTGAACATTGTTTTCCAAATCAGATTTGTTTATTGGCCTCATTAGGAACAATAAACATGATGGAATAAACTTTAAGTGTGATGTAGTTATTTGTATATATTTTTTTCGGATTACATTCCTCTTTAAGAAGTTCGGATCAGTTTACCGGACGAAACGTTGGAATTATTAAAATGTCAAGTCGAGTCAGAGCTTATGGCGAACTGTCATCTACTTTTGCAACCTCAAGTGGTGTCCGTCAAGGCTGTCCACTTTCCCCGTTTTTGTTTAACTTCATCATAGATCTACTGATGGAAATAACTTTCTCGTCGACTGAGTTCTCGGGTATTGATCTCCTACCAGGAGGTCCACTTATCGACTTAGAATACGCAGATGACATAGTCCTGTTTGGTGAAGACGCTGACAAAATGCAGAGTCTTCTGGTAGCACTGAGCAACAATGCCAGGATGTTTGGAATGCGCTTCTCTCCCTCTAAATGCAAGTTGTTGCTTCAGGACTGGTCTGCGTTAACACCTGAACTAAGGATAGGGAGTGAAGTAGTCGAACGCGTTGACAACTTCACTTATCTTGGAAGTCTGATCAGCCCTAGTGGGTTGGTGTCTGACGAAATCTCAGCACAGATTCGAAAAGCTCGTTTGGTTTTTGCCAACTTACGTCACTTATGGCGAAGGCGAGATATCCGTCGATCAATAAAAGGACGAGTATACTGCGCGGCAGTACGTTCTATTTTAATTTACGGCAGCGAAACATGGCCATTAAGAGTAGAAGACACTCGTAAGCTATTAGTATTTGACCACAGATGCCTTAGAATATATTGCTGGCGTCTGCTGGGATCACCGAATAAGTAATAGTGAGGTTAGACGCAGGGTATTAGGGAATGATGGTAAATCAGTTGATGAGGTTATGAATCTTCATCGACTGAGATGATTGGGCCACGTGCTACGTATGCCTGAACACCGATTACCACGACGTGCAATGCTATCCGGTATTGGAAATGGTTGGAAGAAAGTTAGGGGCGGCCAAACCAAAACGTGGCATCAGTGCTTGAAGTCACTAACTTCTAGTCTGAGCCATGTTGGTAGATGCAGACTACTTGATTGGGGTCCGCGTGACAATCGTAACCAATGGTTGGAGACTCTTGGTGACATGGCTCAGAATCGATCACAATGGCGTCGGTGTATACACTCCCTGTCTTCCCTTAAACTAAGAGATTAAAATCGCTTCATATCTTTCTTTCTACGAACCAATTCTTTCTTCTTGTACTTTATCTCTATATGCAATCTTTCTCTTATATATTACTACCTTTGACCTAACCACTGCTATGAATCCGGTGTTCATCTTTTTGTGCTGATGCGGTATGGCAACCTGGACCGATGCACATATGTGCCTGGTCCTACGTTGTAGCTGACTGACTGACTGACTGACAATCACTCAAATTATTGGGATACAATTTTTACATCTGATATCTTCTGCATACTCGGTGCTCAGTTACTGTCAAATTATATGAAATTCCAACAGCTAACATAGATTTCATTAAACCCATTTTGTTCTAAATACTAAAATTTTAATTACATCGATACTTAAGTTTGTAATTATTTTTATGAACACATAAATATTGGTACAAAGGGACACCGAATACATATGCGCCACACAAGTCACTTGACTTGTGTGTGGGCTATGATACTGCCCAGGTGCCCACATTGAAGCAGGTGGTTTTCTTAGGGGGCCACACCCGGAGCCTTCGAACTAAAGGTCTGATCCACAAAGCAGTGGAGCAACGTAAAGTGATGTAGTCCCGTGGTAGTCAGTGGCCAACAATAGGTTCATACGTCATTTGTTCCCTCAGAATACTGGAGTTCATGTGGAGCATTGGTTTGGAATCAGGGTTTTCCGACTCCCTTAAGAGGACCCTCCGTGCCCACCGACCCGATTAAAGCGCTGTAAATTTGCTTTTCGTCCTTTCAATTTGGTGAACAACAGTACTGCCGCATGAAGTCAGTGATTAGGACTTCCCTGACAGAGGCTGTATACGCGTGGCCATATGAGAGTATTTGAAGAGGGAGAGCTGACTCTCCACACCCTCGGCAGTATTAGGGCATTTGGAGGTTATTTAGTTTTTTTTTTTCTCCATAATTTTAAATTTATTCGCTATATTATTTGACTTTACCTTTCACTCTCAATAGTATATTATTTAGCTGATATACGAAAAAAAAGTCTTTGTGCTCTACCATCATTTTATTTGTAATTATATTTCATTTTAGGAAATTGGTCGTGTTGCTTCACATACTTATAAAGTGATTACATTACCAGAGGATCATGCTGCTAATGTTTTATATATCAATCATCATCTATTGCATTTATCATCACAAATGATACCAAAAAGTATTGGAGTAAGTGAAATTATATTATGATAAATATTATTCTCTCTTCATTCTTACTGATATTACTCACTTATTATATTTGCATAATTCACAATAATGTTGATTTATTTATATATTTATTTATTTGAACACATAAATATTGGTAAAAAAGGGCACCAAATTCAAATGCGCCACACTTTTGTGTGACGGCTATGATACTGCCCGGGTGCCCAGACCGAAACAGGTGGTTTTCTTAGGGGGCCACACCCCGAGCCTTCGACCTAAAGGTCTAACTCACAAGGCAGTGGAGCATCGTGAGGAGATGCAGTCCCATGGTAGCCGGTGACCAACGATTGGTTCATACGCCGTTTGTTCCCGCAGGATACTGGAGCCCATGTGTACCACTGATTTGGGATCCGGTTAAAGCGCCAGACATTCGCTTTTCGTCCTCTCATTTTCGTAAACAACAGTGATGCCACGAGAAGGCAGTGAGTAGGACTTCCCTGGTAGGGGCTGTATACGTGTGGCCATGTGAGAGCATTTCGAGAGAGAGGGCGGGCCTACCCTACTCTCGGCCATACCAGGGCATTTGGGGGATGTTTGTTATCATTATCATTATCATCAATGATGATGATAATGATAACAAAAATCCAATTGTGATATTTCAAAATTATATTAATAGGTAAGTCCACTTTGTTGAGTGCAACAAGTTTCTCTAAAAGGGAAAAAAGTCATTTTTCCAAGGTCTTTTTTAGTCAGTCAGTCAATCAGTAATCGTCAGCTTACTTTCTGGGATGAATGTATATCGGTAAATGTTACCACACCTTATATCAGCACAGTAATAAGAGAAGAGGTCTACAAGTTGATAAGCGACATAGAGCAATTAATCCCAATCGCATAAAGGAAATTTAAAAATGAAAAGTTTAGTTCAAAGAGTAAGTTAGGAGTCGTAACATCTTAATCACCATTAATCATATTAGATAATACTATTAAAATGAATGATTCTAGAAGTCAGCTATAAGACTATAATCTCATCTAGTTGTTTGGTATATTAACTTTATTGTTTCATAATAACCACTAGACGGCCGTTTCGTTCTGATAGGTCCTGGATTCAAATCTCACAAGGCGGGATCGTGGATGCACACCGCTGAGGAGTCTTACGATATGACGAAACGGCCGTCCAGTGCTTCCAGGCTTTCCATGGTGGTGGTCTAGCTTCAATTCACTCATGATCTCAACCATTGAAAAATAATTGGGGCGATCAAAGAAACTGATAACAACTTTAAAAGGAATGAAAACGTTTCAGCGAAACAAATTTTCTTTGCATCAATATCATCTTTAAAGTTGTAGAATCGTATTTATAAGTAATTTTCACGCATAATAGTAGTCTATGGTAAAATAGGGGAGTTTTAAAAAAATGTTAAATATATTTTGTTGAGTCGGCTTTCCGAGAACTGCAACGGAGCCTCCAGAGGTCCTAAAGGAGCCGAAGAGTCCTAGCTAATCAGAGTATGATGGAGCTTTCTAGAATATCAACGTGGCGTGCTACTATTAGTCTTTTAGCGGATTGATTGGCCAAAATATGATGTTGATTTAACAAATGTTAACATCTATAAATACCCGTGTTTTTCTGTACAAGAACGTACCTTTGGAGTAAAGTGTTTTTCGCTTATTTTGTGCGTTTTCTCTCGAGTTCAGGTCGCTGTGTAGTTCTAGCTTACGGGTTACCAGAATAGCTTAAGAATCGAATAAAACGTTCAAATTAACAAGACTTATCATATTTAAACTTATTCAAGTGGAAGTCAATGAAAACAAAATGATGTTGTATAATATAGTTAAGATTATAATAGAACCTCAAGTATTGAATATAATATAAACGAATGAGTGTTATTTCAGAGTAATCAAAGTTTACTAGTATTCAATAGAAAAGGGGTTTGTACCTTTTTATCTGAACGGAAATAATGACGTAATGTTGTTGTTGTTTACAATATCCTATTTTCAAACAGTAGCCTATACTAATACAAGGACAAATGTTAGTAGATTTTTAAAAATCGAACGTTACACAACAGCTTACAAATAATATACAGACAGTATAAATGGTATTCAGTTGGCCCCAGAAAGGCAACACTAAGGAAGTTAATCTAAGTGACAACCGATGGTAAAGGGTATCATGTTATACTAGTGATCATAGTTTCTATTTCGAACCCGATTTTGGCGCGAAAAACAGATTTTAAATATTAATATAACTTGTAATTAATATAATGCAATCATGGATTAAAATAAGCTAGTAGTAAGGGTTTTAGAATCATTAACTTCGTTTCCTTTCTTGAGAATTGAACTTATGTAACTTCGCTGTAAAGAATTTGTGTAAATGACTGGTAACGTATGTATATTTATGTGCAACTTTTCCAACATCAAGGGTCAGATTTATCCATCCAGTGTAAGTTTTATTTGTTTGTCTGTGGTATATCTGATGAATCATCCCGTCATAAATAACTCAGAACTTGGTTGATTAGTCGTCGACGTCAAACATCACTAAAGAAAATTAAGATTATGATATTGACTTAATAATTCACTTAATAATTCCATATTTATGAATTCGATTTTGATTTACTTGCTATGTTATATTGAAAGCTAATGAACTACTACCCTACGTAGAGCATAAGGTTGAATTTGTGACCTTTTAGTTACAATGCAAGTACCATAACCACTACTTTCCTCTGTTCTATACATACAACACCGATTACCACGACGTGCAATGCTAACCGGTGTTCGGGATGGTTGGAAGAAAGTTAGGCGCGGCCAAACCAAAACTTGGCATCAGTCCACAACGTCACTAACTTCTAGTCTTAGCCATGTTGGTAGATGCACACTACTTGATTGGGATCTGCGTGACTAAGGATCAGAATCGATCACAATAGCGTCGATGTATACACTCTCTATCTTCCCTTAAACTAAGAGATTAAAATCGCTTCATATCTTCCTTTCTACCAACTAATTCTTTCTCCCTTATATGGAATCTTTCTTTTATACATTATCACCTCTGAATTAACTACTTTTATGAATTCGGTGTCCATCTTGTTGTGTGAATGAGGTATGACAACTTGAACCGATGCATATATGTGCCTGATCCTATGTTGTAGCTGACTGACTGACTGACTGACAACATGGTAGTAAACCGTTAACTAATTCAATGCATCAAGTAATTTGAAATTTAACTAGGAACATTTTCTTTTTTACAACACAATTTTAATTCAGATAGGATTCCATTGAATTTCAACACCTTTTTTTTTACAATCATCTCATCCATCTTTCTCACCTTCTTTTTTGTTTTGTTTTGTTTTAGATATTTGAGAATAAAATCAATTATTATCGTAGTCAAATACATATACCAGAATTATTTAATGCTGGTGTACCTTTATCAAAACTTGCTTTATTTGCTGGACCATTTGGACGTCAAAAAAATATCATCTCAACTATACCATAACAATTTCTTCTTTAAAAAAAAATTTTTTTTGTTTTGTTTTGTATCTTGGTCTTATTTGTGTTTGTTTCTTTGTTGTTTTTTTTTTACATTTAAACATTGATTCATTCAAATATAAACATAGTTAATGGTTAAGGAGTGAGGAGGAGGAGTATATGGTTAGCTCGTTTTATTTATAAACAACAATAGTTTATCTTCAATTTACTCGTTTTTCTAACCTAATTTTTTTCTTTTTGTTTGTTTGTGGTACCTACTACTATATCCAGTGAAATGTTGTTTTATCAATGGATTGTATATAATCCGTATAACTTACCTACCTACCTACCTATATACATACTACACTCACAATAAAAGCCTATGAATGATTATATCATAGACGATAATCATTTTGCATACTTTTTATGGAATAGGCTATTTTCAAAGTTTATTATTCTTGTATTTATGTTTCTTTCTTCTTCTTTTTTTTCTCTTTTTTTGAAGAAAAATTGTTTGATTTGTTTTATCCGCTTAACAACTGGCCTTGAATAAAGTGGTAAATGTCAAATGTTTCTTTTTCCTATTTTGAACGCAACGGGTTCACATTAGAAATAACGTTCAGATTTTTTTTTTTAAAAAAAAAACGAAGGATGCACGCTAATTAAGATGAATATTATTAAAACTGATCAGTGAAATATGGTTCGTTTTACTGTCTATTCGTTTGCTTAATGATCAATCGAAAACGTATAACTAAAAGTGTACTTTTAACAAATAGTATAACGTCTCGAAGTTGGTAACAAATTGTTGTTATCCTTGTCATGTTATCTCGTATGTCTATTTTGAACACCTAGAGTATAATCTATTAAAAATGATGTTTGTTTGTGGTGAATTTCATATACAATCGTTTCATTAAAAAAAACCCTATCTTTAATATACCATTACATGTTCACTGTAAATGTCTAATGGCCTTTACATGTTTGATCACTTGGAATTGTCTAGCATATTCTTGATCTGGGGATCTAAAAATTATTTTTTGTCACCATAGTCAAAATGATAGTATTAAACGCATGGAATACCCAGTCTTTTCTATGTAGATTATACACAACAGGCGAATCGAATCCGTTGAAACTAATAGACGAACTAATCAGACTTAAGGTAGTGCCTCTTCGACTTTTGCGCGAAATTCATTGAGTCATATAGCACAATGCATTTCTACTCTAGCTATTGTCAGCTCGTGATAAAAATCCTGAGAACAATGAGGGAACTGTTTGTATGAGAATTCATAAAGGCGAATAACCTTTCGCTTTTCCGATTGGCATTAACCCGTAGAAAACCCTAAGATTTATTACGTAGACTGTTCACAACAGTAATACCATCTTGATTCCATTTGAATTGTCCCGCTGTTGATGCTTTTGACTGGAATGTACAGATTTTGTTTATACAGCCATTACAACAAAATAGTACTGTAGAATAGGTGGGACGTAGGCAGCAATGGAATCCTAGACGCACGTTCCGTCCAACTTATAGCTCATCATTTGGATGTACCTGCATCCCGATGATGTTCACTGCTAGAGACATCCAACCACTCTTATAGTAACACCACTTCTTTACCATAGACTATCTATTTAATTAAGCCGCTTCCTAATTGGCTAGAAAGTATTCGCGATTATTTCAGACTCATATATTGCAGCCAGAATGATTCTAAACCACTATTAACGACAGCGCCTATTTGATAGTCCCCTTTATCAGTTTAAACTTGACTTATTACTGCATTTTTATTTTGATCCAAACCTATGGCCTTGAAATAGACTTCATTCATGTAATTCTTATTACCTAGAACAGATGATGTTTAAATGATACACTTTGATTTCATTTGAACACAACATATGTTTTGTTGTGAGTTATCGTGAATACAAATTAAAGATAAGCGGTCTTACATAGGACAAAGGATAACAAAGAATCATGAAACATTCTCACTAATTATGTGATGTATGATTTGAAATATTACCTTTTGATTTGAATAACTTGAAATGCATTTGTGTACAAACTTGAACATGCTGATATTAGTTATCTGATTACGTTTGTTGGCTTATAAATCTGCCAATTATGAGGACATTAACAGTAGTTCTCATGGAAATTCCGGCACACAGTGATGAGTTACTTGGATTTTTTTAACGGGCTATACATTTTTGCAAAGATAAAGTATTGATTATTATTAAACTACATACCTAAATCTGATAGTCTAAAACACTCAGTTGTCATGTACTGTATTTATATAGTGTAAATATGTTCCACTGAGAAATTGAAACACCTGGTATGGTTGATTTAGTAATCAGATGGTAAACTTGAATATTTTCCCTCTAAGACCTTTTACGTAACTGCACTGACAGCGCCAACATTGACACTGATGTTTAGAAATGAGGATAGCTTCTACGATGTCACATTAATATCTTGATAATGAGAAGTTTGTATCATGGAACGTTCGATAGTTCCATCAAAAGTGATAAGAAACCAAGTACACATTGATAGGTTATTTTAATAACTCAATAAATTTAATAATTCCTAGCACCTTATCTATAGTTTCATTTCTATCATTTACTTTCGTTCCTATATAGAAATTTTTATCAATAACACGTTGTACTTCATAGAGGTTGATTATGAATACAGTGGTCTTGAGTGCTGTTAGAGGTATGAGGGCAGTTACCACTTCCTGGTAGCCCACACCGTGGAAGGGTTCTTCTGGAGGTGCCTGAAAAGGAAATTAGATTAGAGGTGGTCTTAGTGACCTGAGAGCGTGACCGCAGTGCCCAAGGAACAGCTGCTTGAGGTCGGTCACACACGACCCTTTTATGAGTAATTTTTGTGTTAGTTCCGTACTTGTTGAGATCTTACCACCGGGAACGGATATCCGTGGGATAAGGCGAGGTGTGTATTTTTAGGGTCCACCTTTTCTGACCACACCCCTCCTTGTAGGAAGGCAGCATCGCTGTCATGCTGGTTGTCTGAAGGAAACACCTTACTGCTGTCACACCTCTGTACAATCAGCAGTACGACTTCGCTTTCGGCCCTTCGGTTTGTTGCTTTTAGTCTTACCGCTGTTCAACCGACCTGTGTGATATGGTAGGACCTTGAGGAACGGTTGTTCCAGCCAGCACAGCTTGGTTGCTTCGTCACGACAGGCAAGCCCGACCACCACGTCAAGGTAGCAACAACGGTCCTCCCTTAAACTAAGAGATTAAAATCGCTTCATATTTTCCTTTCTACGAACTAATTCTTTCTTTCTGTACTATATCCTTATTGCAATCTTTCTTTTATATATTAACACCTCTGAATTAACTACTTTTATGTATCCTGTGTTCATCTTGTGTTAATGTGATATGGCAACTTGGACCGATGCATATATGTGCCTGGTCCTACGTTGTAGCTGACTGATTGTACTTCATAGGAATCATGTAGAATTTTCAACTAAATACTCACAAATTATAAATGTTTTACTTCTGATTAATATTCCGTATCAATCATAGCTTATTAATGTCAAACTCTACAGAATAGTTCATAATGAGAAACGTATTGAAGATAGTGATTTGAGAATTATAAACGAACAATTTGCTTTATCAAGTGTATATATGGGTATTTAGTAATATAGTAATTGAATAGAACACGATATATAATAGAGACTAACTTAGCTCTATTCATATTGATTGAAATTTGTTCATTTCATAAAATCATTAGAGATGAACAAACAATGAACATGATAAATTTTTTTATCCACAGAACTTCTCAAATAAACAGCTTAAAATTCAGAATGGAATAATAGATGCAAAAAAAATACAGTGATTCATGAAAAATTCTACACATGTTCAAAAACACATTAAGCCGCGTTCTCAACAACATTATCTTCTCTCATAGAATCATCAAGTGGAGGTGGAGATTGTGCTTGAGGAGGTTCTGGAGAATCTTGTTGATGACGACTATAGTTGTAATCATTTTGTGTATCATCTTTATCTGAATAAAGGCATTCATTATTTGCAGGAGCACCATCACCTTTAGATGGACTATTTTGTCCAGATTCTAATTCCATTTGCTGATAATCTTGCTGAGTTTGAGAAACAACCGCAGTGTTGACTATTGGACCTTGCATCTCTTGGAACTGAGCCATATACTGTTGTTGTTGATATTGCTGTTGTAATTGTCTTTTAGCTTTCAACTGTGCAACAAATTGGTCTAATTCAGCTAGGTTTTCATCTGATTCACTACGCCTGAAACTTGTAACTAGTGGGGCAAGAGGGGGAGTTTTTATGCGAGCACGAGATATTACTCTAAAAGGGAGAAAAGGAAAATATCAACGCAACTCCATTAATTTTGGAAATCGAACAAAGTTTAAATTTGATACAGACTTAATGAAAATAACTGTTGAAAAAGATTGTTTAAGAATGAGAAATTTAATTTACCTCCCACGAGCACCAGGTCGAATTGGTGAATGTGATGGCGATCGAGGTGATGATCGAGGGCTCCGAGAATATGAACGTGATCGACTTTTAGAAACGTGTGATCGTGACCTCGAACGTGAACGAGAAGACCGAGGTGAGCGCTCAGCAGATCCAGATGTTCCATAACGTTTTCTGCGACGTTCAAAGTTACTGGCGCTGCCCGATCTAGCCGACGGACCATCACGTCTACGATCATCATAACTGTATGCAGTAAATTATACAAAATTAACTTAAAAATGTTACCAAAGTAAAAGCAAAACAATAGTAGTTCACAAGACAAGCACAAAGTAAACAACTAATTATTAGGTGATGATTTTTATAAACTTGGAGATAAAACTCACTTGAAAAATGGGTGTGATATAGATATAAACAAAATAAAACACTATGCTAACTTGGTATGGAAAAATCAAATGAATTGAATGGACACAGAGTTGGAAGCAGCAGCTGCATTTGGTTATTGCCGAAAACTCTTTCAACTCATCTGAATCATAGACAATAAAAATTCTGATGTGAGCGAAACAATCTGTGATGACCGGATGCCAATCACTAGCAGGTTAGTTTTCGTTCTAGTCGATGACCTAATGATCACATCTTCACCCTCTGCCAAATGTTACGACACCGCAATACTTATTACAATCCAACAATCGTAGTATGCCTTGACATCAGAGCTGCCTTCGATTCATTGAACAGAATTGTTCTGTGGGATTGTCTATTGAAGAAGGGTGTGCCTGAGAAGTTCATTAACATCTGAAGGGCCCTACATACAAACACCTCATGCAGAGTGAAGACATACAACCACCTCTTTCTATTGTTCGATTCAAGCAGTGAGGTTAGGCACCATCCCTTTTCAACTTTGCTACCGATGACATTCTGGAAACAGCTCTGATGGATGTAAGTAATGGTGTGAATCTGTTGCCGGGAGAAAGACCTCTCGACCGTGAGTATGAGGTTAATATTGTCTTACTGTGCGATAATAACCAAGCCATGTAATCCACATTTAATCAGTTGGTAATCAATGTCCGTAGGTATGATGTGCTTTGCACATTCGAAGTGCAAAGTACTTTTACAAGGCTGG